ACAGAACAAGTGAGGACCCCTGTGTGGAGTTCAGCTGCATTAGAATTTGTTAGGAGTTCTTTCGTTTAACCCGATGTGCAATCTTGGAAACTTGAACTCTTTTTTCAACCAGCCATGCTCGGATGTGTTGGCCATAGTGTCCCAGCAGCAAGCGAAACAATGTCACAAGAGGGATGATTTGATTGCTCTGGCAATTTCCACCCCATGTAGACCAATATCTACAAGTCCCCTGGCCGTGTTTTCACAGCCATCCTCTCAGCGGCAATTCACTCCGTGATGCTCCGGTATGCCTGAGATGGTGGCTGGGGATTTGATTTGCTTCAACTAACCCTGGGAATTGAAATGTGTGTTGAATTGATTACTCTATAGCAAAAACGTACAGTTCTATAGACAGGGCAAGATACCAACTTAGCTGCAGCAATGGCTTCTTCGTCGGTTTTTCCCTCCATTTTGGCCTTCTTTTTGGCTACATGGTACGCACTGCTCTTTCGACTCTGGAGCTTCTTTTTCCTAAGGACTTCACTTGACTCAGAAGGTTCACCGGTTTTAACTCGGCTGGCCCGGGTCTTTTTCTTCGGGGAAGCCTTAGCTTTCGGTTTTTTGGGTGTACCCTTGGCCTTAGGCTTGCAAGTCTTGTTTTTTTCTCTCTTCCTTTTGGATGAGCTCGGTTCATTCAACTCATCATCATCCCCATCATCCCCAGCATCCCCACCAACTTCATCAGCCACAGGCTTTCGCCCTTTGCCACGGCCACCTTTGCCACGGCCCTTGCCGCGGCCTTTGCCACGGCCTTTGTTAGGTGCGCGCTGCTCGGCAGGGGTAATGGGAAGCAAGCTGTCCAAAATCTCACCAGGGCGACACTCCGAAGGAACTCCATCCGTTGATGGCTTTGGGGTGTCACTCTCCTTGGCACCCTTGTCAGGCTGGTGATTGGCACTAACCTCGGCAGCAGCTGGTGGGCCGGAAGCCGACCCCTCAGCTTCAGGTGGCGCAACATGGGTCTCATCCAAGGTCATAGTCTTTGCATGCATGATTTGGTCCTCCTCACTGGTAAGGGCGGCCGGGTTGATCTCCATGTCCATCGGCAAAGTCTCAAGGTTATCCATACCTAGGGTGTTAACCCCTGACAAAGAAATCTTACATATAGATTGATGGCTTGGTTGATGAATTGCTTTGAGAGATAGGCTACAAGGTGGTACTCTTCGATTTGATCTAAGGATACTGTTTTTCAACCACATAGTAAATACCCTGCATCTATTAATATAATTACTAAGATTTAAAAAAAAAACTAACTCATCGCTCCCCCTATCATATTTCCCTTGCCTATAGTTTAAACTTGTTTTTTTTGGTTGGGTTCGCGCGCATTTTTTGGATGTGAAATAGATACTCACCGAACGTGCGCACCCAACCAAAAAAAATAAAGTTTAAACGCTCGCTGGGTCAGCTATATATGCCATGGATATATTAGAGGTGTCACCTTTTGGTGTTCTTGGTGCACACAATGGTTGGACCTAATTAGTCAAGATGCATTGCATTCGGGACTGTTGGACCTGTAGGTGTAACCTTTTGCGTTTGTCCATAAGAATCTCGGCATCGCACTTCCATGAAGCATGCTGAAGGGCAAGATCAATAGACCCATCTCCCTCATTTGACCATCTGATACCCCAAATTGCTTGGTCCCTTGTGTACCCCATGTTGATAATGGACTGCATATTGTAGAGATCCTTTTCCGAAAAAGCGTCCTTCTCATCTCCAGCCGCTGGGCTAGAATGAACAGACAAACCTGAAGTTGATTCCTTTCTCGGCAACCCTTCCAGGGAAAGTTGAATGGCTTCCGCCAGATCTGGTTCACCCTCGGTTTCAACAGGTTCCCCCAGAGGTTGGTGGTCTGGTTCACCCTCGGTTTCAACAGATTCCCCCAGAGGTTGGTCCTGGTCAGCCATGGTCTTTGGTAATGCCTGCATTGACAAAGCAATGGCACTTTGAAGATCATGATCTTCATCTTCGACTGGTTGGGTAGCAGGTGGTTGCATCTCTGACAAGGATAGCGATTCTTCAAGCAAAGAAGTCAACTCTAACTCTTCTTGAAGTAGCAGTTGCAAGACAGAATCAAGGTCATCTTGATCGTCCGGTTCCCCAACTCTACTTTGTCAGGGTTCGGTTTTCCTGAGCAAGGCTTACTTTTCAAGTCAGACCCAGTCATGTGGCACTTGCTACATATGGAGTGCCCATCATCGGTGTGGTTGATGTCGTGGAAATCATCACCAATGGTCTTTCCTGGGACGGAATGAAAATGTGGATGTGTAGCATGCATCGTCATGTGCACATTAAATTAAGATCCAATGGAACTCACCCATGCCCACCGCATGCCGTATCCAACAGCCACTGATGCCAAGACTCCGTGCTGAGGTCGCAAGAGAAGAGGCCTTGCAACAGGTCTTGCAAGGCTCGTTCCTGGGCCAACAGGAGGTCAGGAAGTAAGACAAAATAAGTAAGGAAACATGGAAATGGTTCACAGGATGTTTACTGGAAACCCTACCTTGTTTTTTCAAGTCCGTCTTCTTGGTGGGAATGTCGCTTGGTGCCATCGTCGGTGTCGATGTCTCCTACAAGAATGTATGTATAAGGCAAAAAATTGCAGCCCACAGAGTATAGTCTACTGCAAGTCCATTTTTTCTTTGTGATATTGCATGCTTATCTTATCTTTGGAAAATGATTTGGACTGGCAGGGCACCCATGTCATGAATTTATCATAGTGCAAAACCACCCAATGTCCTTGGGTAGATTCGGGTTCTTCTCAGTGGGTGTTTTGATAGGCTCTGGCGGAGCTGCTACTTCCAAAGGGGCTTCAACTTCTGGATCATGTTCTTCGGGTTCACTTTCCCCTTCTTCATCTTCATGGTCCCACCCATAAGGGCCGACATCATCATCCCCACCATCATCCCCACCATCACCTGAAGCCACACAGGCACCAGCATCCCCACATTCAACCCCGCCATCATCCCCATCATCGCACCCATCATCTTCGCCAGGGGCCGGGTCCGCATCTCCGGCACCATCTTCATGATCACCATCTTCGTCGTCAGCTGCTCCAAGGGAACCTGGGAGGCCGAGCATTTGTGAAAACGACAAGTGGGTGAATTCATGAAAAAAAACATATAAGGGCTACAGTATAGAGTACATGTGTGCATATGACTTTGCCAAAACACTCGATGTACCACGAGGGGAAAGTTCAGGGACTGGCATTCCGGCTTGCTCCATCAAATGGATCAGCCTTGTGTCTCTAGGTCTGTGCCCTCGTTTCACAGCCCTGGTAAAAAGCGAAACCAAATTGCGGAGAATCCAGCTCTCACATGTGATGGTAGATCCTTAGTTCCAATGAAAGAGAAATCACAAATCCAGTTATTTTGATCAACATTTTCAACATGCATGCAATAGCCACAATATGTTCCCCAGTGAAAGGCCCGTGCTTTGTGGCAGCGGTTTTCCCCGAGGTCGGGCATACACCAACAGCTCTTGGACAGCCTCCATGATCAGGTAAATGGAAGGGCGGCATCCTCAGAACCCAGTATGATTTTTGGGATTAGGAAGCAAGCACATTGTCGTTCGCAAAAAAATCAAGAAAACCGTGATCTTTATTGATTCCATAACACAGGACCCTACTTGATTTAGATGCAGCCTATGTTCCAGCATGCTTGATGATTGGGGCCAGCAAGACACTGTTGACACCAACATCACGGCGAGACAAATTTTTGGGTTTGGTCACATTGGCCAACTTCCCAGTAGATGCCCTACGGACAAGATCCTCATCTGACTGCCAATCTTTCAAGATTTCGGTCACCAACCTGTGTTGTTCCTTGTCGTCTGCGCTCCCCATGGCAGCGAATGCAACTTCAAGACTAGCGTACCAGCTGGGCCCAAATGGCTTCCATCAGATTGTTGATTTCAACATGTTCCAAGCATACCCCACTTGGTACTCAAAAAACACTGGGCCACTCAATCTTGAACATTTGGATTTTAAATATTTCTGAGCCACCATATGTTTCCAAACAGCCCACCCAAGTTCGCCTTCAGCATGTAGTTTCCAGCCCAGGCCAAACCATCGGGTACCTGGAGCATGCAGACGTGGCACACAGGGGATCTATAGGGTTTCAAACAAGGGGGCACTGGATGAAGAGGAAGGCCAGCCCAACAGGTAAACAAGATTGTGAGCCAAATGGCTCTGATGGAAAAAAACGCTCGAGGTACCCAATTTCTGCTCGATCCCAGATTTATGCTCGAATGGTTCAAACGTACAGGGGGGCAAAAAAAAAAAGATAACGATCGAAGTTTCAGGTATTTTAAAAATATACGAACAAGTATTTTAGACTACCTCCGGGAAGGTGTTTCCTTGGCCCGCCCGGCCACTTAAACATACGGAATCCAATTCATTTAAACATACGGTAACTACATTAAAAAAAAACGAACTGTTTTTTTAATACTACCTCCTGTGCCTCGCGGGCCCGCCCTCCACATATTTAAATACCGTTACCGTATAGGTGGTTATACAAACTGGCTTGTTAGGGATTATTAAGACATATTGAAACCAACAATAGTCGTATTTACTAACCGACCAGCATGTCATGGCATGGGAAAGGGCATGAAAGGGCCATTTTTCATGGCACAGGTGGCTTATGGTGGCTTATTAAACTGCTCAAAGAGTGCCTTCTACCGTGGCCTTCGTGTGGAGTAAGTCCCGTATTCAACACAGATTTGATGTACGTTGGCAAAAACACAATAAATAAACAACTGATGTTGCCCAAGTAAAGCCGCAAAACAGCAGGGAAGAGTATACTTAAGTAATTATATGTCTTCTGTCGGATATAAATATTCTGTAGATTCACCAATGAATACAAGGAGATACCGGCCACATGCACCGACCAAAGGACTCTACTTAACAAAAAATCTGCATAATTCATAGTGATTCGCAAACCTGAAATGAGACCATTCACGTGCCCGTCCTCGCTCAAGTCAGAGGGTGCTGACGCTGTGGCCTGCCATGGGATGGTCATCCAACCTTTGTCGGGATTCTATCACATAATTACCTCGGGGAATATGTAGAAGCCACTACAAAGAGGGGATAACGAAAAATCGTTAACAATGAAAAACAATATAATTATCCCTTCATATTCATTCAATCCTTGACAATGCCCAGTATGGTTAGGGCTCAAACTGAAGAACGCACGAAAGCAATATAGGTTTAGAACCCTGATCAAGTTTGCTGTCCCTTTTGGACCCTATGTTGAATTCCTAGATGCCAACCCCTTTTCAGTTATAAGTAGGTTTACATGCCAACCTTTACCCAGGAAGAAGATGATGTACATCATATTGTACTGGTCGGTTCGCCTTGGCGAACTTGGTTTTCACAACACAGCTGGCTGGAGTGTGTAGCTATGTTCATCCCCCCTATCCCGATCAAAAAATCAAAGGTATTTTGACCCATCGGAATTTTGGTAGTTGAACTAAATCCAAACAAACATAGGGTGAATCAATTTCTCAACCAAACATGGACATCCAAGTCAATTATTACTGTGAACTAACCATTCATCAAGGTTTCCCTCGAGGAAGCCTTCGAAAAGGCCCTGGCCGGTGCCTCGGGCGGAAGCCGCCGTTCCAACTGCTTCTCCTGCAGCAGAGAGACTTTCAACACTTGGGTTTCCAGCTTCGTCTGGCGGCGGCGACATGGTGGGTGACTTGATAACCTTTTTCAGATATGCGACACTTGTTTGATATGCAGGGATATTGATCGGGATATATTATATGTACTGTATATATATAACCATATATATATATGCACACATATGGGATCTAAGTGGAATGGAATATAAGTGGGATACGCCTGGAAATTGATGGGTCCCATGGCCAAATGGCCAGTTTGGGGTACCCGACAGTTTCAGACCAACCCAAATATGGGTTTATCACCAACAAACAAAATATTGCTAGAGAGGGGTTACGAAAAAAAACATCAATCAACCACTTTAAAAAGGGGATGTATTGAGATGCAAGCAATACATATGACTCATATGACCATCAACGGATTCGTCTAGGTGGGAAAATCGAAAACGGAAACCGTGGCTTTTTAACCCCCAAATACAGTGGTATCCTGAAATGCTTCCCTTCAACCAATTCACATGTTCGAAAAAAATAGCAAATTATATGTATATTATATGTTTGGATATGTTTGGCTATATATAATTATAAATATACACATATCAATATATAATTTAATATGTATACACACACTCCGACAGGCATGGAATTCCTCGTGTTGAAATTCGGTTTCCGGCTCCGCAACACAAGGCGACAAACGGCTCGCCTCCAACTTCTGACATTGCTCTTCCAGAAATTGACTGCGTTGCCGGGAGAGCTCCAAGCCTTAGTGGTTTAGAGTGAACAGAAAAAGGGGCCGGCCATGTCTGGATAGATGATATATATATATATATAACATATATGTATGTATATGCAAGTCTAAACACATAAATAAAGGTATGGTACCAAAGGACCCACCGTTTTTTTGAATACCAAAGGGCCCAACCATGGTGACCATCACCAACCACAATGACCAGAGGTGGAACATGTGATCAAGAAGTGGGTATATTTGGTACTGTACCTTGCCAATAAACATGATCATTAAAACAAAAAAAACGCAGGCTATATCATATATATATATACATATTCCCTGCACGATTCGAGTTGGGTGTTATTTCATTGGAATAACCTGTTGTTTTTCTACCTATATGTCTCGTGTATGCTCAATTGGATATGTCCTTATGTTGTACCCAGTAGATGGGTTTGCCTGAAAAAAAAGGTGAAATAATGTATAACCCATAGGATCCATGTATGGTATATGTGCTAACATTGGGGGTATATTGATGGTAAATGTTACCATATATAGCATACATGGATTCTATGGGTAATGTAACATTCTGAAATTGGATGGTTGATCATCATTATCCCCATTGAAACTGTTTTTTTTCTGGCCTCCCCATGCTCAGACAGACCTGAATATTATATCATACAAGTATTGCTCATTATATTCTTTATGTATATCCCATTGGTATATATATATATATGTACATATTAATTATATGTATATATAATTAAATATATATATATAGATAATCCATTCAGAGCCATTTGAAACCCCACTCACTTATAGCGACGGACTGAAACTTAGAATGCCGCCATGTTTCTCAAGATTTTTAACGGTGCCACTTAGAATGCCTTTTTTTGGCCTCACTTAGAATGCCTCCATCGCTAAAACATTCAAACCTGCGAGCTGGACTTTTATGAGGCATTCTAAGTGCGCATGATTATCGCCATATTTGGAGACCCTTTCAATATTTGTTTGGTCCAAGGCATTCTAAGTTTCAGTCCGTTGCTATTAGAGATATAGACTTAAACTCTTGATGGTATATAAAATTTATTATATAATTCCCTGTTCTGGTGTGAATATGCTAGTTGTTGTCCCCTAAATCGCATTTGTGAGTTTCAGGAGAAAGGAAGGGAGAAAGGAAAGGAGAAAGGAAAGGAGAAAGGAAAGGAGAAAGGAAAGGGAAAGGAAAGGGAAAGGAAGGAGAAAGGAAAGGAAAAAGGAAAGGAAAAAGGAAAGCAAAAAGGACTGGAAAAAGGAAAGGAAAAAGGAAAGGACAAAGGAAAGGAAAAAGGAAAGGAAAAAGGAAAGGAAAAAGGAAAGGAAAAAGGAAAGGAAAAAGGAAAGGATTGGTGTGGCATTCTAAGTGTTACAAATGCAGCCGGGAGGGACAAAAATCGTCAAGGAAAGCATAATTCATGTGGAAATCAGCAAAAATCATAAAACACATGCCCCCAAAACCCTTGGACGCATTCTATGTGTAACATTTTTGGAAGGAGAAAGGAAAGGAGAAAGGAAAGGAGAAAGGAAAGGAGAAAGGGGAGAAAGGAAAGGAGAAAGGAAAGGAGAAAGGAAAGGAGAAAGGAAAGGAGAAAGGAAAGGAGAAAGGAAAGGAGAAAGGAAAGGAAAAAGGAAAGGAAAAAGGAAAGGCAAAAGGAAAGGAAAAAGGAAAGGAAAAAGGAAAGGAAAAAGGAAAGGAAAAAGGAAAGGGGAAAGGAAAGGAGAAAGGAAAGGAGAAAGGAAAGGAGAAAGGAAAGGAGAAAGGAAAGGAGAAAGGAAAGGAGAAAGGAAAAGAGAAAGGAAAGGAGAAAGGAAAGGAGAAAGGAAAGGAGAAAGGAAAGGAGAAAGGAAAGGAGAAAGGAAAGGAGAAAGGAAAGTCGCTGGGATGGCAGCATAGCGGGCAGCGAGTGAAAGGAAACCTCCCATGAGATTGGATTTATATACAATTATTCATATGAAATAGTAAAATTATACAATCCTTCAAACCATGTGTTTCATAAAAGAACAGAGATTTTGCAACAGAATGATGACATTTGTATTTGTTTTTGGCGGCATTCTATGTGGGCTGCACAAAGTACATAAAACCCCGCGTATACCGAGTATTTTGAAAATATTGGCTTCAAATGTTTGACATGCTTCGACCGGGACTTTTTGGCCGGAGGCATTCTATGTATGGCACTCAATCTCATATTACGCTGTAAATTCTCACAAAATTTACCTACGAACGACTCATTAAAAAAAGACCCGGTCAAATTACAGGTACCCGAAAATTGCATTTTACCAGGGTTTTTTTAAGATTTTGCCCCCGCGGCGGCATTCTTTAGGACAGTGCGACCGGAAGGGGTGCGGCATTCTAAGTTTCAGTCCGTCGCTATAATTAAATCTCCATGAAGTACACAATAAATCACAATCTTTGTTGCTGTTTTATGGTTCAATGGATTGAAATAGGAAAAACGGGAAACCATGGATTTTCCCGTAAAAACAAGGGTGTTTCCTGTAAATTTCCCTCAAACCAACCCGTTAAGTAGAATTTTCAGTCTGCACTTTAAAATCCACCATTCTGTTTGATTCACTAGTTATTATTATTCCACATCAACAAATCAGAATGTTTTGTTTTAACCATCTGGTTATTTAACATAGCCATGGAAAATCACCATTTTTAATAGGTAAACCATCTATAAATGGGCCATTTTCCATGGCTATGTTAAATAACCAGATGGTAAATGATTGTTTCCATGGTTAAATCCACAAATCCGACCCGGGAAGGTCACTCGGTTTCCAAGCGATGCTCTGCTTCGGTCGCCTCGCGCCTAGCGAGGCGAGTCAAAACATATGGAATTAAGCATGATTAAACCAAGCATTCTGGATAGACATAAAGTGATATATATATATATATAATATGTATCTTACATGTATATGTATATCATATTTTATTACTATATATGTAGATTATATTTATATATATACATATTATATTTGTTTATTAATGTAAATTACATGTATATCGTATAATTATATTATATGGATGTTAAAATTATATATATATATTATGATATATTATGTATATTATAGCTTAATTATGTACGTGTACATTATATAGCCAGCAATATGTCATAGGAGTGACAGAAAACACAAAAAAGTTTCAGTGGGATAATAAATATAATAATAGGGATACAATACAACCATCAATACTATGGAATTTCATTGGATATTTTAAAAGGGATATTCTTGGGAATGTTTCGGATGTGTGAGATGTATCCCTCAGTTATGGCGATGGAATGATGATCAGCCAAAAACTGTGATCCCACGCTTGGTTGCATCCTCATGTTGAGAAACAGCCTGAGCACGCCGATGTGGAGATAGTCATCATGGAATGGATATATATATATATAGATTTGATAGAATGGTACTGTCATAATGAGGAAGTTCATTGCAAACATCTAGAAACACAGGAAACAAATGCATTTTTTTACTGAGCATATTCATTCTATTGGAGGAATTTGATGATCATTCGATCCAGTGGGGCCCTCGTCCCCTCTGCTTCCTCCCTGCTTGACTGGGACCCCCTAGATAGCTAGGTTGGTGCCAATAACTCCAAAAACTATGGTTTATGGTACTTACAACTATACTTCATGGGGTTTATATGGGTTTACAAACCAACTTATACCTGGGCCCACATGGTAGAAAACCGAAGGTCCCTGTTCAACTTCACAGCTAGGATTCACATCTGCAGTTTCAACTCATCTGTAGCGTCTTACTCTCAAACCATCTCAATCCATCTCAACCCACGGCTAATCTTAGACACCCCGCATTTTTAGCTGGGTAGCACATATCCCCATAAACATTTAAAAGCATTGAGTACAGTATTGCAAAGCACCCATCCATTTGGTTGGCACAGAATCCATTTCAATCCCAAATTTGGCTCAAGGCCATCAAGTTAAATGATCCAGAGCTCAGATTTGACCAATTTGGGTCTTCACCACCAAAGACATGGTTATAAATTTAAAGTTATATAAAGTAATGATAAATAATGTACGGTGTTCAATGTTAAATCCCCCTAAAATATTGAGCGACGGATGTTCTCCTCGACTTCTCAACCACAAGATTTTGGAGTTTTCCATGCTTACATAAATGGCCACTGCAAGCATGAGTGTATGGTTCTTCCTAAAACGTTCCATATTTTTTCGAATTTTCTGTGTTTTTTGTTTCCATGGTTTTCCCCAAGATTTTCAGAGCTCAAATGCCAAAGATCTGAGCCAGCCGCACCATGCCCATGCGTCGCTTCGTCTCCTCTTTCAGGGTAGACACCTTCACGTGGCACCGAACCGTTCCCAAACAGCTTGACGAAAACTTTGAATGTTTGAAAAATAATATTGGAGACATAATGATTAATGGGTGTGATTATATTTTAATATATATATATATATTGCACACTTTAGTAAACCCAAGCAGATTCAGAGAGGTTAGATTTAACGTCTTGGATGTTACTACTGGATGTTTTCTATCATTGCGTTACTATTTTGAAGTAGTGGTTGCGTCTGTTGCGAAAAGTCGTATGCCCCAAATATAGGACATACACACCATCGCCGTGAAGGATGCCAAGCAGTGCACAGCTCACCTTCGGTCTACTGGCTGGTTGAGAGCGGGCTTCCTGAGTAGGATTTCATATAGAATCTGAATTCCCTCTCCACTCTATTAGAAACTGGTGATTATTTATCCTGGGAGAATCCTGGATGAAAAGAACCATTGATGGTTTTGACATGCTTTGAAAATCCGTTCTCCTATTATTGGAGGGTGATTTTACATGATTTTGCGGTATCCATTTTCGAAGACACCCAGATTGTTGGTTAAGTTATATGTATATACACCATTATTCTGAATGTCCAGTATATCCCATGATATCCCATTCTATTCCAGATCTATCCGCATAAATTGACCGTTTTATACACCCATGTGTTCAGGCAAACATATGCAACCCCATTTTCATTGCTTATTATATCCATTGTATCCATGATATATCCATTGTGTCCCTACTACTGTCCGACTAATACCAATTTTATAATATCCACGAGTTCACATGTTTTGATGAGTACACCACCGAGTACACCACAATTTTTGTTGGTTTTCTCCCCAGTGTTGTTGTTAAAGCCCTGGTTGCTGGTTAAATCTTAAACCTTCGGGTTCATCCTGGCCTTTGTCTCCTCTGCTACCACTGCAAGCTCTCTCTCTTGCAGCTCCTAGCGGTCTGAGGTTTCAAGTCCCTGACCAAAAAATGTTAATGAAATTAAGTATTGGTCATTGCCACCCATAATATATATATATTATATATATTCAGTATATCTAACATGCACACATAAGTAAAAAAACAGTTTGTGCTACTATTATAGTAACACACATATATATATATACAATATATTATATATATAGGTAGCGTGGGAAAAACGGAATGGATACGCCAACCACATGTAGTTATAGGGTGAATGAATGAAATTGAGATAATTGAGTGGTGTCTTTCATCACCGGAACAATGTTCAGGAAAACCGACACGGAAACTCATCCGACATCGTATGCAACACGTTGTGACGGAAGATCTCTTAGTTGTACTCGTGTGTCTTTTGCAAAGCGGCATGCCTCTTGTCGTCATCATCTTCGTCGAAGGTATCAGTCCAAAGATCTTGGATACATCCCAAGTGTTATGAAATGACACGTATGGAAAAGGAAGACTAAACCACCAACACATCATTGCAACATCATGGCGGCCGCTGAGGGTCATCCCAAAAGTGGAATCACTATTGTAATATGTTTTTTAGAGTGTGATAAAATCACATAAAAAATTATGTTGTTCGCATTTTATCATGTTTTATCCATGTAATTTTACAAAAGTCTTGTTAAAACGCGGGAAAAAAAACACACATATTCAATACCATGTGATGTTTGGACTCGCTTCGTCTTCAAGGCTGTAAAAATTGGGTGTAGCACATTGTACTGTACTAAGAACATTCAAATGTGGCCAAACCTACCAACCATGACTGGGGGATATCAGCCCTAAACCCGAGTCCTGCAACGTCCTTCTCACATTGCCATCCAACTGCTGCAGCTTTGCCTTAGGAAGGAGAGGAAAACAGCGGTTTTTTGTGGAATGTTGGGCCAAGCAAAAAAGAGGCATAGAAATTGAAGAAACCGATGGAAAATTTAGTGATTTCAGCAAGAACAACATGGATTTCCTTCAAGAAAGATTGCGATTTAAGGGATTTCAATCAGCAAGAGGTTTATACAATTTATGATATTTGCTGTAGTGACAAATTTATTGGATACGCATGGGTGATTTGAGCAACTGGATTTAGGCTCGGGACCATAAAACCGAGGAAAGAGCCATATCCATTTCCCGGATCCGGGAAAATGTTGATAGTTTCTGTAAGAATAGTTGTAATAGCTATAAGATTGATGATACATGTTGATATTCAATATATACAGTCCAGAAATGTCTATGAACTTATGTAGAGTGTGGGTTTAAGATGGTTTAAGTGTGTATACCACATTCTACCACTATTTCCGACATCAATCAACCACTTCATTATGAGTCCTCCCTGGCTGGTTGCTTTTTTACAAGCTCAAGGCAGGTTTGTGGGGGGATTTCCCATATGGATTTCTCATGGATTTCCCCAAGCGTACCTTGCGTTCGGCGAAATCTGCGGCTCGCAACTCCTGAAAAAAGACACAAGAATAGCGGAGCGATCTTGCACAGGAAAGTGCCCCATAGTTAGCTAAGTTGCTTTGTAACTATAATATAATTATAATATATAATCTATCTATAGTTAGATGGGGGTATGGACCAACTTATAACTCCACTAGGGGGCACCTTCCTATACCATCAAAATGGATGTACAGTGTTAGTAAAGCAATAGGATCCACCATCCCCAACTTTACCAGAAATGGGTGGTGTAAACCATCGAAACATTGGTGATGTGGTAAACCCAAGAATCAACTATCCCCAATATTACAATAAATGGGTCGTAAATATCATACCCAAATGGTCCGTTTATTATTTGGTTTACCACAGTAACCTTTGAATGTATTTATGTATACAATACATGGTGCTCATGATTCTTGTGTAACCTATAAATATATATATATACTTACAGAGGATTTACTTTATTTGACTTTACATCTGAATACTTATGATATAGCTCACCATAAACAAGAACGAGAAGAGGTTTACTTTTATCCAAGGCACACCTCAAGAAAGTTCACTTCCAATGGGACATGACACATATTTTACTCCATTGAACGCATCCAAAAAGATCCAACAAGATTGACCATGGCACCTCCTTCTGTCGGAATTCCTCTTCAAGCCTGTCCTCAGCTTGACCCTGTCAGGTCTGTCTAGACTTGGGCAATTTACGTCTAATTTCTGGCCATGATGGGGAACATGAAGATCAACTGCTGGATCTTGGGGTACCTTGAACAAACACATATTCACTAAAAACATCTAAAACCATATGGGCATTTCCTAAGATAGGGGTACCGCCAGATCATCCATTTTAGATTGGGATTGTCTGTAATAAACCATCCAGCGATAAAGGGCTATCCCCATGACTCTGGAAACCACCCATTTTTTCACATAGATCTTCCCCTTGCCATCTCTTCAGAGGCATTGAGCTTTGACCCTGCAAACATGAGTGACAAAAAATATTGGTCGTCGCGCAAGACAGCAGCAAATGCGGAACATGGCCCAAGAAACAAAAGCTTACACTTGATTCCTATTTAGGGCACTTCCTAACAACTAGATGGGGTGGTCCAAAAATAGAAAACTCTCAAAATTGTGTTTCCCTACTAGTTGATGGCGAAAAACCACCTATTTTGGTTAAATCCATCATTTTCAGACATGCCCAAATATCCATGTTGCTGGCATGTATCCTTTGGTCCTATTACATTCATATCCCATTTCATATCCCATTCAAACTCCCCTATATAGGGGGTTTCCATAAATGGGGGTACCCCAAAATGGATGGTTTTTTGTGGAAAACCCTATTGAAATGGAAGATTTGGGGGTACCCCTATTTTAGGAAACCTCAATAAACTGTGGTTGTCCCGGTGTCCCAGTCTCACCCATTGGTTTTATCTTTCATCACCGCCCAACCATAGCTGAGGATAAAGCCTGAAGCTCTTGCTCCTGTTCGAGTAGATAGACCCGAAACTTCTCCTGTGGCCAGGCGAAGTTGGGAAGTTGGGATGATGATTTAATACATTGATATGTATATGGCATGATTCGTATTTGCATTGTCAATATAACTATAGTTAATATATGTTGATAAGCTGGATTGTGTTTTTTTGACTCATCTATATATATACCTGGATCATTCCAGGGCTACGGTTTTAGATCCCTTTTTTTAAAGATCATCTTTGGTTTATATTACATCCTTTTCAAGACAGGGGCGTGTTTTCTAATAGGGGCGTGTTTTTTGAGATACCCTGAAATGAGATGTAAATATGCCCTGATTATGCAGTGGATTCATTGGCACAACACGAAATGAAGGAATTCATATAAACTTACAATCCTTTCAGTGGACCAACCATGACGTTTCAATGGTGATGGATAATGATGGATACATCTACTAATGAACCAATTCTTTCAAATAGCTTGTAGGCACGGGCCCAATCAACAAGATGAATTCTATGGATTACTTCTTGGGGGTTATGGGATCAATAATCCAGTCTGTTGTGGGTTATAAGTTTAATCATGTTTAATCCCATCCCAGAAAACCGGTCATACCTCAAATCCCGTTTCGCAAGCGCTCAAGCGCTTCTTTCCCCCATCTTGGCCGAGCTCAACCACTGTGTGTGGTCCGGGCCTTGGCCAGATGCGGGGCCGCTTGGTGGGTGAGCCTTTTCTTCCTGGAGGGAAGTGGATATCCACATAGGGGCCTCGGGAGCATAGTAAAGAGTTTTTTGGGTGAATTTGGTTATCAATATTTTTGTTGGGGGCCAAAAGCCCTTTCCCAAAAAACAATTGGCACATGATCCTTCAGGACACAAACAATCCAGTGCATGTGCACCGTATGTATGGTCACTGCAGCCACCGGCTGAAGACCTTCCTGGCTACCTTTGATCCCAGTTTGGAAGTACAATGGGGGACAGGGAGAGTTCCGTTGATAGTGCCAGGGCTGCCTTGAGTGTTGATCTTAGTGGTTGTGCATCTGCTTGGGATGATGACCGTGCCCTTCGGCAACAACTTCGGAAGAATGGTTCCATCTTCAGTCCCTTACTAGGTAAGGAGAAGGTGGAGCCTTCTGTGGATGCTGCTGGTTTGAATGCCGATGCCCTGCTCCCAGTTGTGAAGCGTCTTACTGGTGAAAACCTTGGTGACCAGATTGGCATGGTCTCCATTCCCAGCATCGAGACTGAGTTACCTGTCTCACATTTTCCCTTCAGCTTAAGCCCTTTCAATACTTTTTGAAACCAATCATTCCCATTTTCCCTTTTCCCTTTCTAACAGACAACTCATTTAGTTGATAGCAGTTGCCTTGTGTTTTACACCTTTATGCCCACGCCCAGGTTGAAGGAGCTCTGTCGGATTGCTTCCATACCTGTTGACCCAAAGCAAGTGAAGTTGGAGGCCTGGTTTATCAAGGGCTGCTGTGTGCTGCTGAAGAAGAAAGTCTCCCGCGCCCAGTGGCCAAAGAACCGCCAGTTCCGGTTGCTTATGGCTGCTCTGGTGGGTAGGCAGCTAGGAGATGATGATGGAAGTGATGAAAATGATGGGAATGATCGTAGTGATCATGAGTCAGCGATGTCGGTGAGGGATGGTGGTGCGGGAGGTGGTGGCAGCGATGGTCACCAGCCAGGTCACGATTCCAGAGATGGGAGTGATGGTGAGGACAAGTAGTTCGAAATAGGGGATTGTCTAGCCAGTTCTTCAGTTAAAAATATTTTGAAACCCAGTTGCCCAGTGTAATTTGTTGTAGTTGCTTGTTGTTCCCAACATCCTTTTCTTAAGGGATACATGAATATCCTTGGCTAACAACTAGGCAAATTAGACCTTCCCACTGCTCCTGTCAAGCCTCTCTATCCCAGGACCGACCAGATGTTGGCATGGCTTCGCCTGCACCGTCTACAGTTGACATCAGTGATGACGATGCTGAGGCAGAAGAACCGACAGGTGATTCTGAGGTTGTGGATGGATGTGATAAAGGTCAACCCGTTGAACATGATGAGGGAGAAGTCAACAAAGCTGCTGCCTCCCCAACAGATGGGAAGATCCAGAGGGGCAAGTCGCATGTCTTCAACTTCGTTCCCCAGCCCCAAGACTCCCAAGACCCGAACACCCCGGATGCATCTATGGAGGTGGACCCTGAAGAGGAGAAGAGAATTGCGGAGGACAAGAAACTCCCTTTGCACCCGCCCCCCACCGACATGTACATTTCCGAGTTGAAGGAGAAACTTCGTGACCTTAGGAAAGCACAGAATGATCTCAAGAGCCGCAAGCTTGCCAGGGAGGCTGCTCTTGCAGCTGTCGCTGACAAGGTCATCGAGGTTGAAGAGTCTCTCCCATATGGAAGGGATACCGCTGAGACCATGGACATGGGAGATGTGGACAATTTGATTCACAAGTTCAATCAAGTAGAGGGGGACCTTGACCTTGAGACCACCGATGATACACCTGCCACATACTGCATCAAATTATATGCACCTTTTTGTTTGTGCCAAACGTTTGCTTCAATTTTCCTGACGGCATTGTATTTGTAAGTTAGATGTTTGGCCCTTTTGAATTTAGGATACCTCATCACCACCCATGCCTGCCAATACTTAGGTCCTTCGTCGGCAGCAGCTTCACTTGAAGGCCAAAGATACCAATGAGATTCCTTCTGAGAAGGGACGGGGTCGTGGCAAAGGCCGTGGCCGCGGCCGGGGAGGGAAGGCAAAGAAGCCCAACACCACAAGGGAGGGAAAGGATCAGGAGATGGAGAATCCTGAAGAGGAACATGAACGTGAGATGCCAGAGCCCGAGATGGAGGTTGAAGAGTCCAAGGTTGAAAAGCCCAAGAGGAGAACCCGAAAGTCTGCCTCGAAACCTACCGCTTCTGGTGCTTCTTGTGAGACCTCCAAGGTTGCCAAGCCCAAGGCCAAGTCGAGCTCAGCAGCCAAACCCAAGGGGAAGCGCCAGTCGGGTGTGGAGGAGGCTGGGTGCAAGAAAGTGATCAAGCCCAAGAAGACTTCCAAGGTTTCCAAAGGCAAAGGAGGTGAGGAGCCTGAACCTTCTGATCCTGCTGACCCTGAGTGCCCGAGGGGTGAGGCCAAGACCTTTGCCCGTCGCTACCGTCCAAAGGGTGGCATTGCGGGGCACAAATGGGATGCCCTCAAGAATGTGTTCAACCGCTACATTCGCCCTTGCGTCCATCGCACCGCTTCTGCACATGAGGACAGGGTTGCCTATGATATGTTGTTTCAATTTAAGCTGCTGCTGTGTTCACACAATTTCCCACATGTGGGGTGATTAACCTTCCCCAACCTAGATAACAAAAAATATACCACCATTTTCCATCCTTCTGACTTGTTATCCCACTCTCCAGGCTTCCCCAGTTTCCCTAGTTGACCATGAATTTGCTTTGGCCACCGCAGGCGAAGTTTTGGGCATATTCCACCGAAGCTTGGGAGGGCAGGGACATCGCCGAGGACACCATCATGGATATGGCAACATTGTCAGCTGAGCAGTACCTTTTGGACAATGAACTGACACCTGTGGCTTAGGGCATTCGGCTAAAATCTTTTGTAGGTTTCCAGTGGGATAGCCACTGCCCACGTGCAACGCACCCTTCCCTAGTAACAGTTTCACATGATTATTCCATATGTTTCCAAACAAACCAACTACAGAAATTAAATAGTAATTTATTTTTCGGCAGGCATAATGTCCCATTGATTCCTTCCATCATCGGGAAGAAAGGTGTTTTTGAAGCATGTGGGGCGCTATGTCCCTGACTCATATGAGTTACTGCTTTCAAATCTGGGTCTTGCCAAGTATGCAGTATGCAATGCATTTGCTGGCAACTGTTCCTTCGCCTAATCGATGAATCTTAGGCGGTTACGGGGCTGATGTGGCTAAGAGGGTCTATGGAAGCTTTGCCAACCTGGTCCCTGTATGTATACTTAGTAGTGCACGTTAAATAGGCAACATTTAGATGAGAAAACAAAGTATCACATTCATACTAGTTTGTTTTACTTCACTGATTTCAATAGTTTGGAAACCCATTGTTTCAATGTCATTGGGTAGCAATATAGCAGTAGAGCTTCCGGAAACCCTTCCCCACGCTGGCTCGACATCATGAAATGAAATCGTCGGGGGAAATGGTTGCTCAATGGTTGAATCTCATTGGAACTTTTGTGTGGTTCCCCATATCATGTTCCCTTACCTGCTGTCCCTCTTTCTGTTTCCTGAGACCCTGTTGCCCCGGGTTCTTGCTCTATGGCCCCCGACGCGCTCAGGTCAGACCGGCCTGTGATGCTATGGTGCATGGCCAAGGGTGGAAACGGAGGCTCTTACCCCATGACCAATATTCGGGTCATCCAGACTTGTTTGCGCTGGTCCAGTTTGGGATTGAATGCTGCAGCATTGCAATTTCTTGACAAAGTTGTTCAAGACCTATTTGATGATGTTTTTCTATGAGATTTGGGTTCAAAGATCTTTCCAAAAAACGGGGCGCCAGCCTACTTCAAAGCATGGCGGTTGGGGTTGGGAACACGCAGCAGAAATTGGACTTGGTGGTGAAAAGGCTACACCATCTCGGAGCCCCAAAGGTTGGGGTTTTGCATGCCTACTTTTGACCTTCCCACGTATGGTTTATGATATATATAATTTGTCAAAACCCTGGTTTTAACTGATCTACATACTGTAATAAATAGTTTGTATCTATATGGCTTTCTATGGGAAATTCTTGGGAGGGTGAGAGCGGCTCAGCCCCTGACAGATCCTTTCAGCTCTGGTAATCCTCCTTGCCCTGTCGGACAATGTGGCAGTGTTTTCCGAAGCAACTTGCCCACATCATCTTTTACGGGTGTTGCAAAACAATGGGGAATGTTTTTGGAGTTGGTTGGAAACAACACAGCATGAGGTGTATGATTGTCACATATTAAACATATGTTCGTCATAAATTGTTGATTCTTTAGCTTGGGTATTTATCTATACATGTATCAAGATCAAATTGGGTTACTTTGAACTGTTTGAACTCAATTCTCATTAGACATGGGAAATTCCCACAGTCACCAAGTTACTGTTTTTTTTGGTTAGTGTCCGTCCACTTTGGTGCCCTCTGGCTTGTTTCTGCCCCAAGGCCTATTCCTTTGTGGAACTATATGCTGGTGAAGCGTGGGTGTCAAGATGCATGCGCACTGGTGGACATCCCACAGCCAGTCTAGACATCAAGTTTGGGCAGGGGGAGCATGCTGCAGGGAAGCAAAACTGTTTTGATTTGCTTTCTGATTCCGGATTCTTGCTGCTCAGCAGTATTGCTAGGGTTAATTAAACATTGCAATCGTATATTTGCTATTTGGAGTTACCCAGGGTTTCCCCCAAATCAAACATAACATAATTCAATCGGATTTGTCTTCAAGCTTTGTCTTTACACTTTTCATACCCAAACAATCCCAAACAGGAAAATACTTGCAGGGGATGTCGGGTTATAGGTTTGAATCCCTATCCGGTATGGGGTATGGGGGTTACCTTCCAAAAGAAGACCACCAAACAGCATATTATACTTCACCAATAGCTTGCCCTGAAGTAACAATCTATATCGAGTGAACCTGTCGGGATTAATCGGGATCTAAGGCTTGCACTCTGGTGCATACTGAATTGTAAGATGGACGGGTTCTTTCTGGTCGCTGGATTGCTATGTCGGTCGTTTGTGGCCATCAACAAGGGTACCAACAAGAGGGAACCTTTTGCTCCACTCGGCAATGAATCAGCCCCATCAGTGCGGGAAGGAAATTTACTCTGCACACGGACATGGGTTTTTCAAAAAAAACGTCGGCTATATATTTATGGTAGCTGGGTGGTACCATGGACTTCCCAAGAACTGGTTCACATTTGGTGTATATCAATGAATTATCAATTATTTCACTTTTCCACAATGGTTGAAATTCTACACTTGGATTTAATGGGAAAACGATGGACAAACATCTTAAAATGCCATTCAAATCTCACCTCCGGAATGCCAGCGGCCCTGCAGGACATGCCTCCTTTTGTGGGTCGTCCAAGCTATGGGCGGATCGTTCCTGTTGGAGCAGCCAAGGTCATCGCTGCTGCTATGGCAGCCCCGGATGCGGGAGTTCATGAAGAGTCTCCCAAAGGTAGCTTTTGGGAAAACTTTTTTTCATTGAAAACAAAAAGGGTAGAATTATGGTATAAAATGGTTGATAACCTCCATCAATGGGGATATCGTATGATATTAGATGTTTATCTGGGAAATCTAGCTTTCTGGAAGCCTAGGAAATGCACGGGCGGAATCATAATTATATTGAGTTGGTTTTCAATAAAAAGATAGATGATGATAGATGTTCAATAAGTTCGGCCACATCCATCTTTGTTTACAACATGTTTTGGGAGAATAATGGAACATATCTATCTTCATGACTTGAAAACCAAAAAATGGCATTACCCTTTGAGGTGTTCTTGGCATACTGGTGGATGGGACTTTTTGGAGGAGCTACGGCCAAAAGGCATCTAGCAATTTCGAATTCGCCAACCGTGGGTATGTTAGACTTGGGCACCCTAGCCAAGAAAGCACGATCGAAGCTCTCTGGTATCAAGTCTGCTGTAGCTTACACATCGAAGAGTGGGAAGAAATCATATAAAGGAACCCGCTTCCTTAAGGGCACAGGGTCTTGGGCTTAGTTGATCAAATCACTTTTTTTATTTTACCCCGGAAAATGTCCTGTTGCAGTATAGCTGGACATATGTAGAAATCATTTGGTCAGGAGGCCCCAAAGTGAACAATCCAGTTGATTAGTTGGCTCGGGCCTGAAATGGGTAAGGGACAAGATACACCAGTAAGATTTCCCCTTGGAAGTTGTGCCATTCCACAAAATGGTATGGGAAAATCTACTCATGTGTACTCAATCCATCTGTATATTTACTACCACTCTTCTTTGGGTATCTTTATATTTATTATCAAGTCAAGTCCCTTAGGATGTTGTTTTGAAATCAATTTGGGCCACTGGTACCACCCTATTCTTGTAGTTTCAACAGGTACGTTGTCACTTGTGATCTGTCTTAACCGTTAACCGATGTCATAACCAAAATGTCGAATCTTAACCCTGCTCTTTCTGGTATTTTTTCCTTCCCTTGAGGGGGCATCAATCACCGGCCCTGTCTACCCAGCTCCGCCCAGGACATACCCTCCTCGCTTTGGAGTTCATCTGCGAAAGTTGCACCAGAGGTTCTGCAGTGAGCGGGTTGCAGAATGGAACATCCCCAAAGAGGTCATGGATAGTGATACTCAGGAGTTTTTTGGCTCTCTAGAATGGGGTGACCTTTGGGAAGACGCTAATATGGTGTCAACCTTGGCTTACATCAGAGCTTCTCGGAGCCTTCATCTTGGAAGCTGGCGATGCCTGTTTCCAACACATTTCTAATTGGAGATTGGAAATGATGAGAACCCATCTTTTGGGATAGTACCTGGAATTCTTTTGTTTGCCCAATTAGTTGTTGCAACCATGCAGAATGCATCCGCAATGGAAATCTTTCTGCGAATTTGCCCAGATCGAAAAGGTGAATTGTGAGTACCAGGCTCTACCAGGAGTAGCCACCGTAATTATCTGCCAATAAAAAGGGAAGCAGCAGTTTGAACATGATTGAACGTATGCCATATATGCATCAAATGTAAAAACATATACAACAATACTTATAACATAATATGTTTTGAATGTTTCATGAAGATTCCACTGTTTTTACCCCGTATCTCAAAACACGTGTGAAACACGTGAAACACGTGTTTTCTACGTGTTTCACACGTGTGAAAAATCCCACCCGTAGAAGGGGCGTGTTTTCCCGTAGAAGGGACGTGTTTTTCCGTATGAAAGGGGCGTGTTTTCCCGTAGAAATTCCGTGTTTTTGGGGTTTTGGGGAAATTCATTTTATCCATTTTTATCCTCAATTTGAAGGGGGTATTGGCTGGAATTGACAGTTTATGCCCTGCTCCCCCTTGATTTCCATATTCCCGGGTCAGCTTGAGTCCTTCGACTGCTGCATTCTGATTCATGATGCTCAAGGTGTTGGTCCGGAGCCTGGGAACACAGGCAATATACGTAGGACACATGCGGAAAATGGAGTCAAAGACCCGGAGCTGTTCGGAGCTGGAAAGGGGAAGTCGCAAGTTAATGCAAGTCAAACAGGAATATGAAAAAGAAGAACTGAAGAAGAAAATCAAGGAGACATCCTACCTTCTATGTATGTCCGGTTTATTTATAAACAGTTCTATTCGTTATGCCACTTACTCCAGCTGATTTAATTGGTGCTCCGTTCCAGGAGTATGAACGGCAGATCAAGCAATTGCAGAAAAAAGACTCAGCTTCTTCAGGTGTTTCTTGGTTTCAAAACCAACTGGACTTTCAGGTTCAAGTTTCAACATACCCTAACTGCCTGCCATGTGATGTACCAATAAGGACAAGTTCGAAGAGGCTGATACGATTCCGGCTTCTTGGCTTAACACTGATGCGTGTTGACACCCATGCACTGCATTCAATTTGGCAAGTATTTTTTTTGCACCCCAGGCAACTGAAGAAGAGTTGGAAGCTTCAAAGTCAAAGCACCCCCCTAGTTCAAAGTGCACAGCAGCAAAAGCCGCGGCAAAAACCCAAGCTGCCCCTGGTAAGAGATCAAAGGCGCAGTCAGCAGAGCAGGGAACATTGCCAACTCCAGGCAACACACCTGTCAAGTCACCACCTACAAAGAAACCAGCTAAGAAGGACAAAATGAACACCACAGGGGTTGCACGCAGGTTGAGCTTCAAGTCCCCTGACCCAGACCCGAGCAAGCAAATTGACACTCTGCAGGAGGTGCCTGTGCTTCTTGTGATTTCCAAAGTTGCAGTGTTAGCTCATGAACGTATGATTCTTGTTATTCTAGTTTTTCATTTCCAATGAATATATGTTTTCTCTTCACAGCCATTCTAAACACAGGCCAATGAGAAGCTTCAAGCCCAACTGGACTCTATGCAGAAACAGTTGGATTCCCAGAAGTCCTCGCGGGCTAGCTCTTCCCGTTCTAGGCGTCCAACTTCCATGGAGAAAGGTACCGCCAAGAAACCTCAGCCAAAGGCCAAGCATCGAGGTCGCTGTGCTTCGGGAGATGAGGATTCTAATGGATCAGGTAGTGATGATGATGACACCGATGATGACCAACAGGAATCAGGTGAGAGTGAGCCGGGTGAGCCTTCCCAGGGTGCGATGGAGGGAAGGTTGAGAAGGCTTTGCGAAAAGAAGCCGTCAGGCAAGCTTAGGGTACCCGAAGAAGTCCATGCGATGTGGGCCAAAGGGGGGCACACCCGCAAAGAACTCTTGAAGAAACTCCAAGATGCTGGCTGGGATGAGGACCCCTGAGCAGTGCGTAAACTTAACATATTAGCCCATATCAGAATTTCAAAATTACATGGCCCTTTCTCACAAGGCCTCTTCTCTTCCCTAGTTCTTCAATGCGGCTTGCAGGATGTTTTCGTTTCTTCTGTGATGCGCTCCCGAGAAAGCATTTCCCGAAAGAAGTCGAACAGAAAACGGGGATGGCACACTATGGAGTCGATGAAAACCAAGTTGGGTTGGAGCAAGTTACTTGGTTAAATCAATATCAAAAATCAAAGTTGTTAGATCGGTTTACCATTGCTCTCAGTATATACTTGACCAGTTGATGGATGAAACTTATCAGGTCCTACATTGCCAGCGTTGTCAAGTACTGCGAAAAGAAAGGCAATGCGTCGCTTGTGAAGACACTTCACTGCAAGTTACCAAAAAATGACCATTATATGATTTAGCCACAGTTTGCCCAACATTCAACAAAACAGCTCATTCATTTTAGCCAATCGCCCAGGAAGGACAAGTACAATAAGAAGATCAACAAGTACAAAGTCGAAATCGAATCGGATTCCGAGTCCGAGGATGTCGATGAAACAAGGGAAAGGGAGGAGGAAACTCTCAACACCACCAAGGTTCCTTGTTATGGGTTCATTGAACCAATGGGATACCAATGGGTTCCTTAGTTTCCATTCCCATCAATCCTCATCTCAATGTTTTGGATACCTGCCCCCAGATGCCCCCAAATAATCTTATATAACCCCGGATGACCCCAGATAACCCTCTATAAGCCCAGATATCCATAGTTCATCAAGTCTTTATACACTGACTCAGGCTCCTGGCTTCAAAAGCTTCAAGAAGAAGTCCAAGGCCAACAAAGTTCCGGTCGCCTCAGAATCCAGCTCAGATGATGACAAAGGAAAAGCGAGTGATGCTGTTGGACCCCAGCAGGACAGTCCATTTATTGTTTCTTCACAATACACACTGTCTAAGTTCCATGGCAATTTGATTGTTGGACTCATGATATATATGCCTATACTGAACTGTGTTTCAATCCTGATAATATATTTCTATGGGTTTGTCAACTCCTAAATTCGGTTCTTTTATTCCGTGAAAATCTCCACCAGGAGTACAACAACTTGAAGAAGCTGGGCGATTCTCTGTTGACCAGAGCAACAAAGTTGAACGAGTTGATTTCCAAAATTGAGTCAGAAATTGAAAGCAAGTCAGATTCCAGAGAAAAGAAAAGGGCTGAAGGGTCCATGTCTCAGAACCTATGCCTATACCTGTGCCCCTGGGGATGTAAGTATCTGGCCATTGACGTATCTTCTCTCCGGCATCCCAGGTCGGTCAAGAACCTGGAGTCAGCTGTCACCATACTACAGGCTGAGATTGAGTCGGTCGAGCAGGCCAAGGTGGAAGTTTCGGGCTTGAAAGGTGCAAAGGATTCCAAGTCTCCGGGAATTCCAGAGCCTAGACCTCATTCGATACCCATGAGAGCAGTAGTCTCAAACATATATGTGCCATATACATGTGTACATCTTCTTAAGACATGTTTCAAACTTATGGGGATTTCCTCTACTTTGCTTCATGGGAGACAGCCCCTTTGGGAGAAGACCTAGGTTGATGAAGAAAGTTGAAGAGCAGATCAAGGCAACAACCATGGCGTGCCTTGTCTAATCTCAAACTGTTAATCAACACGCTCCAAGATTTCCCTTTCCATTGGTCATCTCTCCGTTTCCCAGGTGCTGCAAGGTCATCACGGCAGAGCAGAGCGGAAAGACCCTTTGTTAGCAAGCAGTGTTTGTTTTCGCTGGCAATTTGTGAAGCCCAAGAAGGCCTGATGATTCATAGCTAGGAAGCTTAGTAGCAGCATCTATGGCATCTTAGCTACAATTCTTGAACATACCATGCCCCTTTACACACCCGCACGTACGTGCTGAAGATGCTTCAGAAATACCAGTGAGTGGACCAATGCCTTGGTTTTGGGAACCCAGTCATGAGCGGAGTTTTTCCAAGTACTATCACTTCCCCAACTTAGTCTTGAGATCACCCCAAGCTTTTTTGTCTTGGAAAATGGCTGGAAGTTGAAAGTAGCAGTGGGTGCAAACGCACTATACATGCCTCGGGTCAACATGTGCAAAGCACGTGCCAATCCTCCTATCACCGGTGTCAGCTCGGGGGGTCGAGCGGAAATCAAGATGCTTGGGGCTTGAGATGCTGTCAAATTGTCATACAATAATATCAGAGGAACTCTGCAAAGTCAAGCCCGGAATTCTTCAACATCTCCATACTGATTAACTAGGAGAGATTGATAGGCAATAAAACCTGTTGAAGTTTAAAACCAAAAATACATGATTTCGCCAAAGTTTGATTGCCCCCCCCCGCGATATTGTATTATATTTCAACTGCAGCCCATTGCCAGGTGAGGATCGCAAGTTCCAGGGCCCCGACGACTTCTTGAATCACTGTGCCCAGCTCATCAGCTACGGAGCCGGGAACTCATGCCAGCCAGTGCAGCTAGTGGATCAAGGTGGAAGCTTGCCAATCACTTATGATTCGCTTATGTTCATGCAGCTGCATGATGGATCAAAACCATTCAGTGACGCCAACAAAACTGGAAACAGGTGATTCAGCAATCAGCCGTGCACATCAGGTCCAATAATGTTGAACAAGTATCTATGCTCACTTTTTTCAATCATATGGCATCTTGAAAACCGTATGTTTTAATTTCTATTGATTTATTCTTCCACCTTCTTCCCTTTGGCCCATGGGGATCAAGCGGACTGTGGATGCTGTCAGCCCATCTAGCATTGTGAAGATTGCAAAGCCATTTGGCCACAGTTATGGTTATGCACATATATATATTTCATTATATTTCTACTATGAGTGAATTTATTTATGTTGGTGTCATTTTCATGTGCAACATCCTATATCCAAGGACTTCCCAAGAAGTTGTCCCTCCACTGGTCTCTTCCAATGATGATGATGATTTTTGGGACCCCTTGATGGATTATTTCTCCCGGGACCAGACTGCTGTGGTCACCGAACAGCATCCACTGCCAGCACCTTGGCGCACATTCTGCCAATCAATGCATTGATCATGAAAGTTTGGGGTTGTTAGAATTACTTGATGTTCCCCTGAGACTTCATCCCACATGACATCAGCCTAGCTCAGGTGAAGGATGTCTCGTCAGAATTTGGTGGTTCTTCAACCCAAGGACCGCCTACTGAGCTTTCTGAATCAGATCGGATCTTCAAGTCAGGGTTAGAAATGAAATGTTTGGCCACAAGCGGAAACCCGACTACTGGCAAAATCTTGAAACATGCCGTGGACCAAATCACTTCTATGAGGGAAGAAATGGGAGTTCGTCTTTGTATCTTTAAGATCGGGGTGACATGCCATCCCGCACGTCGTTTTGAGTGGTACCTAGAAAGAGGGTACACCTGCATGTGGGTACTGACCCAATCTGACAGCATAGACCTCATTCATATGCTTGAGGCAGCTTTAATACATGAATTTGGAAAGCACGTCGGGTGCAAAAACAGACCAAATTCTGGTGGTGAGGGTGCTCTGAACCGGGCCAACGTGCCTTCTCACCCCCCATACTATACTTATGTGGTTGGGGGTCGGGCAGACCAACCCCGCTGGGTGGGCTGAAATTACTTTCAAGCTGCTGTTGCATCAAAATTACCTTTAGCTTGTGGTTTGCCTGTGGACTCACACTACTTGGCAAAAAAATACTGCTATGAGTGCTGAGTGCTGAGTGTACCTGTTGAGCAATCTTCAAACGAATGTTGAGGCACATCTGAGTTTTCTCTTGCATTTTTCCTTTCTATGTTTGCCAGCGCTGGCCTCTAAGGTTCCTTGCTGCCGAGTTGTCGAGCTAGCCCGGGCAGAGGTGAGTGGGAATCCACGTCCCAATGCTGCTGTGAAACGTTTTGCCAAAATCCCTGTTGAAGATGCGGAGGCTGGCTGTCATGAGTTGTTCAGGGAGCTAGGCCTATGTGCGCCTGTCAAAGTAGAGTATCCAACAATGGATGGTATGAAGAGCATACCCTACATCAGGATCAGCTCTTGGGCACAATGGCTACTTGACACGAACAGGCTTTGGAGACAATTTGTAGGAGTGGGCAGCTGGGAAAGAATGCAAGTTGTCCTTGGCGAGTACTGGGCTCGCTTCAGGGAGCTATACCCTAATCACGAGGTGTTTACTTTGCCTTGTGACCTCAAAAGGACCATTCCTTTCTATTCTCATTCTGATGAGGGCCGGACTTACAAATCGAAACCGATCTATGTCTTGTCAGTTCATGGGGCCTTGGGGAGGGGCACCAGCTCCTACGTCCGCAAGCAGAAGCACAAGGCAGAGCTTTCTAAATTGCAGATGGGCCTCAACTTCATAGGCAACACATGGGCAACACACATGATGTTCACCAGTGTGGTTCGGCAGTTCATGAACGAAAGAACTGATTGCTTGGATATTTTGCTAGATATCTTTGCCTCAGATTGTGAGAAGCTGATCACGGAGGGGGTCACTAGTAGTGATGGCACAAAGACTGTGTTCATGCTACACATTGCCACCAAAGGCGACCTTCCTGCCTTAGCTAAAGTTGGAGGACTGACAAGGACATTTTCTCACGTTTGCAAGGCAAGTTCTAGCCGCACTGCGTCCAAAGGCATCTGCCACTACTGCAAAGCAGGTCAGGAGAGAAACGAACATGGGCAAGTAGATTGTCCCTTTGAGGATTTTTCACTACAGCCATCATGGCTTCCTACTATGCACACTTCAGATCCGTGGTTGAGAGAACCCACATTACTACGGGGCATTCCTTTGGATCGATCCAGTCGGGCACAGTTCTTTGAAACTGACATTTGGCACAACATGCATTTGGGGTGCCTGAAACATTGGGTGGCATGTGCTTTCGTGTCTTTGATTGAGAGGCTGGGTTTGGCCCCCCTTCAAGGGTCTGTTGAAGCTAAGTTTTGGCTGACCAGTGACTTCAAAGCGTTTTGCCGCACCCGCAAGATCTCACCCTATTTGTCAGAGATATCAAGGGCAACCATGGCCTTTCCTATGTCAAGTGCATGTCCTCTGGGGCAATGGTCCAAAGGTGTGGTCTCAACACACTTCTGCCAGTACTTAGAGACGTTGTGTGATCGGTATGGGGTTGGCGAATCTGACGATGTGGTGTTGTGTGCAATTGTAATTTGAATGGTTTTGAACTTGAACATTTTTTTCTGTTTTGGTCTTGGTCATGGTTTTATTTTTTGTCAGGGTACATGTGGTGTTGTTTTGATACTTTACCAATCCTAGGCACGGGGCACAAAGGCAGCGAACATGTCAATGTCGTTCATGTTTAGCCACGGCTACTGGATCCGATCTTTCTTCGGGAACAAGCTTGGCAGGATGCTAATGGGTTTTGTGCAAGCCTACGGTGTATGTGCAAAGCAATGTCTCCGGGAAGGGAAAAACCGATATGCCATCATCCCAAAATTGCACATGGTGCACCATGCTGGTATTCGCTTAATACTTGATTCAATGCGTTCTCAGTGGGTGATCTCACCATTAGCTACCAGTGCACAGCAACAGGAGGACTATATTGGCAAACCTGCTAGAATAAGTCGGAGAGTTCATGCTGGATCACTCTTACACAAAAGGGTCTGTGACCGGGCTCTTATTGCTAGCATGTTTGCTCTGGCGGCCTCTGACAACGATGACCGGGGGATGTAATTAGATTTGATGCTTACTTGAGCGGTGGGGGAGAAAAGAAGCCGATTGGATCTCTAAACTCTTTAAACCACTTGAATCACCTGAACCCCCCACTCAGCCCAGCACTTTGCTGGCACTACTTTTGCCCAGCCAGTGAGGTCACATGAGCAGCGGGTAGCGGCTGGGTGTCGGTATGAGAACAAATATCAGTGGATAAAGGCACCATAGGAATATCTTGGCATTATGAGTGTTTTAACATACTCCAACAAAAAATGCCAAAATCAAGGGGACCATGTTTTTATGGCAGGGGCGTGTTTTTATACATGGAGGCGTGGATCATAGTGGAACATGGCCTTGCTCTAAAATTGGAGCTCCATAGGCTCCAGGTATATATATGATATAATGTATTTAAATATATAATGATGATAACAACGCCGGGATAAGACATGTCGTATAGTTTTAATATCATAGTGATACATGATTACCCTCGTGTAAACTCACATAGACGCGGAAAGCCCACCATTTGTAGATCATTGTCCAAACCATGGCTTTTCCGTGGTTTTCCACATCTATATGTTAGTTTACCCAAGGGAATCAGATGCTGTTTTTTGAAAAAAATGGTTCACCGCCGCGCCAAGGAAATGCATGGTTCTTCAATGTTTCATATTTGATTTTGAGTGCCAGATGTTGGGATCACTTTTCAATTGCCTCAGTATTTCCATTGATTCGTTCATTTGCACACGGTTTTGTTAGCAACAAGAAGCGTGTTGTAAGGTATTTGGAGACAACATGAACATTCTTGCCCCAACCCCAATCAACCCCGGTCCCCAGCCCACCCCCACCATTAACGTCGCAAAATCTCTGTGCCAAATCTCATAGCATCAACTGTGGAGGTTCCATAAATGGGGGTCACCCCAATAGCTGGATGGTTTATAACGGAAAATCCACCCCAAAAACATGATGATTATCTAGGGGTACCCTCATGTATGGAAACCCTCACAAATATAAGATGATATACCTATACATAGACCATGGCAATATCCTCTCATACACAGAAAACGTACAAAACGCCCCGGTGGTTTCCCTCCACTGGAAAAGCCCACTACATACAACCAAAGTATCACCATATCACTATTATTGTTGTAAGTATTTATTGTGGTCATCGTATATGTAATCGGAAATCGTATTGATGGGTGTCCAATGATGGTGAAGAAACCCGCATGATGATGGTTTTCATTGGATCTTATTGAGTTTGCCTGCAATGGATTACCTCCAATTCCAATGGTCTATCATCAGTGTTCCATATTGTTCCTATCAACATTACCCTTGGGAGCGGTATATTCCATTTTCAGACAAAACCATTTCCATACTGTTGGTAATGTCTCTCGTAGTACAGTATCATCATTATATATTAATCATATAATAAAGCATCTCATTCGTATTCCATTCAATCCCTATTGTTGATAGTTAATCCACCGGCCTGCCGGCGTGTTTTGTGGATGTTGTTGTGATTCATCTTGTGATAGCTTTAGCTTCGACGGATTTTTGCTGTCGCTGAGTGTAGTAATGATGTTTTTTTCTCCACAGTTTCCTGCCCGTTCCCGTTCCAGGCAGAAACACGTTCTAACCTGCCGCTTTTGCACCCAACACTTTCCATAAGCACCTGCCACTCCTGCTCTTCCTCTGCACTCACGGCCTTCTGCAGTCTCACAGCCATGCCGCGTGCATCTACCAACTTGGGTCCTTTCTGTTCCATCTCCATGGTCTTGCACACACCAGCTTCTACACAAACCAATTTTTACACCAACCAACTTTTACACAAACATGTTTCTACACCAAACACTTTGTGCAGAAACCCACTTTTACAGCAATCAGTTTTTACACAAACCGGCTTTGTTTGACACAAATTTGCCTTTGCACAGACCACCTTTTACACCAACCAGCTCTTACACAAACGAATTTTTACACACCAGCTTCTACACACACCAACTTTTTGACCAACCAGCTTTTACACAAACTACCTCTTGCACCAACCAACTTTTACAAACTAGTTTTTGCACAAATCAGCTTTTACACACACCAGATCACACTAGCTTTTACACAAACCAACTTTTAGGCAAATCACCTTTTTGCGCAAACCACCTTTTACACCAACCAGCTTTACACAACCCTTGCTTTGGGCCTGTAGGCCAAAGGCCAGAGGGCTGGCGAAATGCCGAAGGCTGTTAATATGTCCATTCGTACTACAGATCTACAGTATATCAAGTTGGTTGCATCAATATTGTCCTTGCGGAAAAATAGAGGGTCCAGTCCAGTAAATTACGATTATTATAATCTACACTATCTATTAGTTGTTTCATGAAGGGAACCTAGTAAACCAACCAATGGGAAAAGGACACCTCTGAGGTCCACATCAACAAGATTTGGACATTAATTGAAATTGGACATAAAATGTCTTGTTGGTTATATAGTCCATTGTATCCCTACGATATTCCCATTGTATGCTAAATTCCATTGTATCTACCATGATTTAAAATGATTGAAAGATATCTAAAGCGAGTTTCCGGCTCCTCCTCCGCTTGCCTCCACATCCTTAGGACCGACGAACACCGCTTCGGCTCAAGGATCTCTTGGGCAATCGACGAATCGACGGGGTCATGGGCACATCTGATACCGGAAAAAATTGCATTTGGAAGTGAAAGAACTAATGGTATTGTGTATGTAAGAAAGTCATGGATTCAAAAAAATCACTGGAAATTTGATGGACGTTCTTCTAAACATATATATATAATTTTATAATCATTAAATGAGGACGTCACGGGATAAATTTGGTTTTGCTGTCATGTCAGATCTGTCCATGTCCTGTTACCAGTTTAAAAAAAAATAACCCCAGCATAGGCATTAAAATTGGGTTACACAATACATCGGATGATTTCGGGTCAAAAAAACCAACGGACCAATTCTTCGGGTGGTTCCATTGTCTGTGAACTTGACCTTTTTCGTCCGTTTTCAACACAGCCATGCTGATCATGCTAGCACCCAAGCAGGATAGTTCCCTCACTCCCCAGGCCCTAGCACAATCAACAAAATTGTTGAGAACTTTGGGTTCGAACGAATGCGAATTGAACAAAGGTGAAACCAACCAAACGCCACTGAATCTCAACGAGTTTCCACGGTCTTTCAGTCTTTCGCTGATCTTTTCATGGTGAATTTGCCCACCGTGGATGGCGACCGATCTCCTGAGCCCCCCTGCTCCAACTCATAGGCCCCCTTCAAAGGTGCTATGAGGTCATCCTGCCCCTCTTTGGGATTTCTGACCTGGAAAGGATGGGGGGAGAACCTGGGAAACCTCGGAAATACCCCTATATATATAATATATATATATGGTAACTTTATGATAAGGCAATCAAATGAAATTACTTTACTTCGAGCGACTCCCACCGTGACATTATTTTGTCATAGTTTCTGACATCTGATCTGGAAGTATATATGGCATATATTTGCTGACATTCTATTCTCATAGTCTATGCTGCCATTATACCTGACATCTATTCTGACTGCCATGCTTTCTGGCATCTGTTCTGACATTTTCTGTGGCATTCTATCTGGCATTCTTTCTAATACTCTATCTGGCAATTTATTCTAACATTATTTCTGGCATCTATTCTGGCATTTATTCTGACATTCTCTCTGACATGGGCACTGCCGCACTTCAACCCACTGATCTGGCGCTCGCGGTTGAGGTCCGGCAGTGCACACTGAGATCTGGCACTCGCGGTTTATGTCCGGCAGTGCACACTGCGATCTGGCGCTCGCGGGTCCCACTGAGATCTGGAGCTCGCAGTTGAGGTCCGGCAGTGCCCACCGGTTGAGGTCCGGCAGTGCACACTGAGATCTGGAGCTCGGGTCCGCGTTTGAGGTCCGGCAATGCACACCGCAATCTGGAGCTCGCAGGAAGAAGGAGGAGAAGGAAGTATATAACTCTGATAAAATCTAGAGCCCCTCACCTGGCAGGTAGGGAATAACATGAAAAATATTAAGTGATATGAAGTAATATAAAATGATGATAAGCCACGGTGGTTTTGCTACACTTCTGGGGCACTACCATACGGGACGGTGACATCATCCTGGATGGTACTCATTTTGACACTCTGCTCCAGGACCTGAATGTCGCTTCTTATGACTCCATGTTATGATGAAATTCCCATATACTGAAGGGTTTTTAGTGGGAAGACATCTATAAAATGGCGGTTTTGACGGGAAACTCATCTATCAATGATGATGTTAATTGGAAACTCATCTATAAACGGAGGTAGAAACGGATCATTTTCCAGAAAGCCATGTTTGATTACCAGAGGCTAACTCCAGTTCTACGATTATCCCCTTTCAGCGACCGAGGCTTAAGGAAGCAGACAGATAGCCATTGGCCCAGCCAGATACCAATGTTTCGCAGAATGGGAACTCTTTGATAGTGAAGAAATGTGTTCGTCGGTACATATCCTGAATATGTGTTTAGCTGGTACATATCCCCATATATCCCTATCTATGGCGACAAATTAAAGCAGCCACAAGATGGAAGTTTTCTCCAAAATGACCCACCTGACGATGCGACTTGACCGCCGCCACAGCGGGGCCGAAAGTTGCTGGCGCCTGTGCCGCAATGAAAGGCTCCAATTCAAGAGTATTCAGATGGTATATGATGGTATATGATATATGGGAGATAAGATGAGATAAGTAACTGGTATAAACATATGACAATATTGGATATAACTGCCAGGAAATGAGATCATCATGGGTAGTAAGCCAACAATGGTTGTATATCCCAATGTATCCCGGTCCCAGTGATAAGGTCTTAATTGCCCAGTTAATCTGTGGACATAGTATATAAATGTATATAACAAGTGAACTTATGCATATTATTCATATACGGCTATACATGGAAATAATTGGGGAAAAACAAGAGCAATGCCTGGGTTCAATCCTGACGAACCAGTTGATGTGGTAGGCCCCAAACCATCCAGAAATGGGTGGTATAAAACCATCCATAATTAGACGATGATTCTTGTATTTACCAAATCAGTTAGTGAACCAATGAACTCCAGTTGTTGACCGGCAACCACGAGGAATGAACTGAGCATGTGCTATGCAACTTCACATCTGCCGCTTTGGAGAAAAGACCGTGGATAGTCTTTATCTTTGTACCCGTAAAAATCAAATCAACATCAATAAGTTAGACGAGTTGCCACATTTTTGGGGGATCGGCTCGATATGATGGGTTTGTTTATCATCAAAACTGGATGGTTTTATCATCCTCACAATGACAGGCATGATAAATCGCAGTTAGAGGATGTCATTGAGTTTCTGTGGTTCGTGGGTGCCTGAGCGAGTCTGAGCCACCTTTAAATGGGATGTGGATCAACCCGGGCCTTCTCCGACTTTGCAACGTTGCGATCTGATGAGCCCACCTGTGCTGCTGAAAACAGCAACAACTATCGTAAAAGTACCGTTGAATTTCAATAAATCACCATTAAGTCAGATTTTTGGGTACAATCATTGAAACCAAAAGGTGGGTTGGATTGCTAGGGGATTCCCACAACAAGGTTTTGGGCCACCAGCATCATATTACAACATAATTTTTCAATAAAAACAAATTTCCCCGTATTTAATCATTTATTTGATTGTAGCTGAATTTATTTGATTTTATTTGCTGTGGGACCTCCCTGGGGTTATCAAGCAATACATAGCAATACATCACGTGACAAGCAAATGTGGTTTAAATCCTTTCACCCTAGAAACTCAACATTTGACAACACAAGGAAATATGATAACAGCTGACAGTTGGGCAGCAATTCTGCCGCTGGCCTCGGCAAAGTTGTTGTAAGGTTGCGTTAGTTTATTATGTGTTTTCTTGTTTTTTTGTTTTTCCAGCAAATTTGAGAAATTTTGAGATTTTTTTGGGATTTTTTGTTTTTTTTTGAGATTTTTTGATTTTCATTGAAATTTTCTATGGTCCAGAAAAATATGCAATACAGAACCGAGTCTCGCAAAACCACGTTTGAAAAACAAAATTAGAGAAATTTTGAGATATTTTGAGATTTTGTTATTTGTTATTTTTATAATTGTTATTTATTTTTTTGAAAATAAAAATGGTTCCATTGTCCTTTTCTGATTTAATTTGATGTGTTTGTTTCATATTTTCCATTTTTATTCATATGTTTTCATTGTAAATTATTCATATTTTTTATTTTTAATTTTTAATCATATTTTTCATTTTTATTCATATTTTCATTTTTATTCATATATTTTCAAATTTTTGATTGAAAAACCATTGCCAATTAGACCACTGCAGATCTAACCTACGTTTGGTGTTGCTGATACAATAAATCCCACTAAACCACCATTAAATACAGATTCAGACATGTATTGTTTTTACTGATCTCCTGGGTTCGTTGGTGCATAATTCGAGTCTCTGCCCATGTCTTTCATCAGAGCAAAGGGCACCTTGGAACCAGGAACGAGGCCCAAGTCCTACGCTGCAACTTGATGGTGGTAATGATGATGTTGGTGATGATGATGATGATGATGATGGTGATTGTGATGATGAAGAAGTTGCTGCTGCTGCTGCTGCTGATGATGATGATGATGATGATGATGAAGCTGTTGCTGCTGCTGCTGATGATGATGATGATCATCATCATGATGATGGTGATGGTGATGATGCTGGTGATGATGATGATGATGGTGATGGTGACAACCACGGGCATGATGATTCTCATGATCATCATGGAAATCATCAGGAATGACATCCATGTCACAGTTAACACCATTGAAGCAACGAGTTCATGGAAGAAGTAAGTCATTGTTGGTCACCAAAAACCCACCGAAGTATAAAAAATCGCGATAAAGCCAGCAGCTCACCAAAGTTCCAAAAACCAACAGTGAAACCACCATTTCTGCTGAAGCCCATTCGTCTTCCCCAGCTTCCTCCAAAAAGACAACCACTCGAAGTGCACCCACCTGGCCATGCTGGCCATGCTGGCCATGCTGGCCATGGACATCTCCACTTTGAAATCGGTTGAACATGACCAAAAACGGTTGAAACCACCAGACAATTTGGTGTATGATAAACATTACCAGTAGACATGAATGATAAGTTATATAATAATTAAAATCAACTTTCATAATGAAGATTAAAAATAGATACGTCAGTAATGGGCACATTAATTGGTGTATTTAAACGCTTATTGATGAACCTTGGAAAACCAACGAATTGTACTGGTGTATCGGTGTACATAAACATCAATAATGGAAACTACAATACTATAGTGTTGTGCACCACTAGTTTATTTGATCGTCCGAGGTGTATAATCCGCCGAACTCCGACCCCGGCCGACAACCAGGGGGAGTGCGTCAGGGAAGAAGAGAAGAAGAGCTACTACTACTACTACTGCTGCTACTACTACTACTATTATTCCTCCCTACTGCTTGCTACTTCTCCTGCTACTTCTCCTACTACTACTAATACTATTACTACTACTACTACTACTCCTCCTCCTACTACTACTAATACTATTACTACTACTACTACTACTACTACCACTACTACCACTACTACCACTATTACCACTACTACCACTACTACTACTGCAGTCGAGGCAGCAGCAGCAGTAGCAGCAGAGCTTTGTCTTTGTTTTAAAAAAGGTTTCAGAAATAACGTTAGGCCCCTGTCCCGTGTATTTTTGATGTCGTTCGTCCTTCCGCGCCTTGGTGTTTTGCTGCCGGGAGGTGGCAGCAGCAGCAGCAGCAGTAGTCGCGGCAGCAGCAGAGCTTTGTCTTTGTTTTAAAAGGATTTCAGAAGCAACGCTGGGCCCCTTTCCCGTGCATTTTTGATGTCGTTCGTCCTTCCTGGCCTTGGTGCTTTGCTGCCGGGAGGTGGCAGCAGCAGCAGCAGAGCTTTGTTTTTGTTTGTTTTAATAGGATTTCAAAAGTAACGTTAGGCCCCTTTTCCGTGCATTTTTGCTGTCGTTCATCTTTCCGTGCCTTGGTGTTTTGCTGCCAGGAGGTGGCAGCAGCAGCAGCAGCAGCCGCAGCAGCAGCAGTAGCTGCCGTCAGGTGGCGGCAGCAGCAGCGGCAGCGGCAGCGGCAGCAGCAGCAGCATACACACACAGGGGCTTTTACACAGAGAAGTCTTTACACAGAGCGGCTCTTAGACACAGAAGCTTTTACAGACAGAGGCTTTTACACAGAGCAGTCTTTATACAGACAGGCTTTTACACGCGGAAGCTTTTACACAGAGAGAAGTCTTTACACAGATGAGCTTTTACACACAGAAGCGTTTGCGCAGAGAAGTCTACATTTTACACTAAGGAGATTTTGCACACAAACACGTTTACACAAAGGAGCTTTTCCACACAGAAGCTTTTACACAGAGAAGTGATTGCACAGAGAGCTTTTACACACAGACGCGTTTGCACAGAGAAGCGTTTACACAGAGAAGCTTTTACACAGAGGAGCCTTTACACAGAGCGGCTCTTGGACACAGAAGCTGTTACACACAGAGGCTTTTACACAAAGAAGTCTTTACACAGATAGTTTTAACACACAGGCGCGTTGACAGACAGAAACTTTTACACAAAGACGTCTTTGCAGAGAGAGCTTTTACACACGGAAGCTTTCGCACACACAGAAGTTTTTACACAGAGAAGTCTTTGCACAGAGAAGCTTTTACACACAGAAGCTTTTTCAGACAGAAGCTTTTACACAGAGAAGCCTTTACACAGAGGAGCTTTTACACACAAGCGCATTTACTCACAGAAGCTGTTACACACAGACGCTGTTGCACAAAGAAGTCTTTACACGGAGAGCTTTAACACACAGGCGCCTTTACACACAGAAACTTTCCCACAGAGAAGTCTTTACACAGAGAGCTTTTACACAATGAAGCTTTCACACACAGAAGTTTTTACACAGAGAACACAGAGAAATCTTTACACAGAGAAGCTTTCACACGCAGAAGCTTTGACACACAAAAGCTTTTACACAGAGAAGTGTTTACACACAGCAGCTTTTACACGCAGAAGCTTTTACACACAGAAGCTTTTACACAGAGAAGTCTTTGCACAGAGGCGCTTTTACAAGAAGTGGAAAGGTGAAATTGGCAGCAATTCTTTAGGAAAAACACTTCGCAGGAGCTTTCGGGAACAAGCCTTCCCCACTTGCTCCAAGAAAAAAAACGCAGTTCCATGATTCCATGAACATGATCAAAAAGCATAAGGAATATATATATATATTTTTCTGAAGCAGCCGGTCCTCATTCAATAGCTTTCAAGCCCACCCTGCGATGACATAGAGGGTCAAGTATAATCCGGCGGAGCCGACGATGAGCGTCAGCTCTAAAATAATAGCAATAAACATGATTGATTTTGCTAGTCCAACAAACATTGATACATTTAAGAATGCAACATCAACATTCGATTGATCCAACTTCATCATACCAGTACATTGGGGTGTTGCATTAACCATATCATGAATCGATAGTCATTTATCATCGATTACCAATAGGACATAATAGTGCACTATTTCCAACTGGATGTCTCAGGGATAGGTGCATTCTGAAATTTATCAGAAGACTTTTTTTTTCGGAACATGGATTCGTAGCTCGAAACTAGATCATCATTGGTTATTCACCATGTTTTACTACTGATATTGTATGTTAAATGAATTGCCAACTAGCAACAATATTAAGTAACTACATATATGTAATATGTATATGTCGTGTTGTTTCATCAGATTGATGGTTTGTCTACTATATCAACCATACATTTTGGGCTGTCCGTTAAAGATGTGTGTCGAGAAACCACAACATTGATGTCGAATGTTTAGTGGATATTATTGGGATATACAATAATGGAGCTTTCACCAGTAATTAATGAACATGGATGAATAACTGGTGTGGTGTCATTTTGGTCTGATGGTTTACTCATATGTTTACTCCCCAACAAATAGAAGTCTCTGGGATCCACCAAGAATCTCCGGTCACTTCGATGGCTGGAAACCGCACTTTTGGGATGTCGAGCCCCGCACCTGGGACCCATCTTCGTCGATGATGGGACAAACCTGCGGGACTTCGAGAACTGGGGTTGTATGGTTGAAATGATGTCGTTGGAGAAATAGTTAGAGGTGGTTCAGGACCCGTACACAGTATTAACATGTCTTAACTATTAAGCCATGGGATGTGAAAAAATGAAAGATTTACCAATAAAATAAAGCATCTTGGTGTAACATTCCTGCATGCTGGTAATACAACCAAAGCTTGTTGGAAAATCCTGCAGTTCAACCTAGAATTGGATGAAAGTTTAATTTTGCACAAAACACCTATATCTTGGGCCTGGAAAAAGAAACCTGGCAGCCAGGGAGGAGGCTTGCCTCTGGTTTCCTTTCACTTGCTGAGTTGGTGGGTAAGAGCCATTTGTAGCAGGAAAACTATATCATTAAAAAAAAAAACAACACCTTTCGAACATATCTATATAACAGAAATACTTTATCACTAATTTTTGGTCTATCTTAGGTCGGGAGTTTTCCATTCTTGTGCAAGACCTCTGCCAGTTTCCGACACACGCAACATTTGGCTCAACATCCCGGCCAAGGTTCGCTAGATTGCCTAAAATCCTTTCAGTGTAGCTTCATATATTTATGTAATTATCATTTTGTTGGTTGATACAATACAAATATATGAATATTTGGAGGTTTCCTGAAATAGGGGTACCCCCAGTTTTCATCCATCTTAGAAAAAGGGATTTTCCATAAACCATCCAGCTCTTGGGGTACTCCCATGACTATGGAAACCCCCATGTGGTAAAGCCAATGCCATATTTTTATGAATGGTTAATGGATGGTTATTCCCTGTAATGGATGGTAAAATTTCCCTCTGGCTATGGACACCCCCATATTATTTTTATAATTCCAATAGTTTTATGATACCCCTATTTTTCAATGATCATTTTACCAAAAAATCGTTTTCAGCTCGGCCAGGTGGCCGGCGCCTGGTCTAAGCTTCTGAAGCCTTCGACCTGAAAAGGCCCCGGCACATGCCAGGGGTCAAGTTAAGAAGACCATGGGGATTATATAGATAATGGCATATTAATAATGGGTGCAGAATTGTTTTTGGTATTTTTTCTTTTACAGTTTTGGAATTTTTTTGGGGGTTCGTGCCTCTTCAATTTTTCCATGGTTTTCTTCAATTTTTCCTTGGTTTTCTTCAATGTTTCCATAGTTTTCTTCAATTGTTCCATGGTTTTCTTCAATTTTCCATGGTTTTCTTCAATTTTCCATTGTTTTCTGCAAGTTTTCCATGGTGTTCTTCAATTTTTCCATTGGTTTCTTCAATTTTTCCCGGGTTTTCTTCAATGTTTCCATGGTTTTCCAATGGTTTTCTGCAAGTTTTCCATGGTTTTCTTCAATTTTGCCATAGTGTTCTTCAATTGTTCCATGGTTTTCTTCAATTTTCCATCGTTTTCTGCAAGGTTTCTTTGGTTTTCTTCAATCAATCAATCTATATATATATGTATGTGTGTATGTATGTATGTATGTACGTAGGTAGGTAGGTAGGTAGGTACGTAGGTATGTATGCATGCATGCATGTATGTATGTATATGCAGGGTGTGGTTTAGGGTTTAGGGATACAACATGTAATTAGGTATAATTACATGATTATTTGTTGTTTATGTTGGGATCAAAGTTGTGTATAAAAACAACCACAAATATGTCATATATATATGTATACGTCTGTATATCTATAAGTAAATATGTATGTGTATTTATAATATATATATATACTTATAGTTATATAATTATATAAATATATATACATTGATATGTATATACATATTAATATGTATGTATATATATACATTTATATAAGTACATTAATATATATATATAAATATAAGTGTATATATAAATGCAAATATATACATATACATATATATATATGTATACGTGTGTCTATATATATATGTCTAGATATATATATATATAATTTTTAACAAAATATTAATATAGTCGAATCAAACAAGTGTATTGAA